TAATATCCTTTTATCGCGATTGATAATTTTTCAATGCGTTTTCAACGTTAAGGGTACAAAAAGTGCGTAAAAATAAATAGAAATAAAGAAAGATCGTTTCAATAAAATATCGAGCGAGGGGAAATTGGATCGATCCGCTTCGACAAAATTAAGCGAAGATACGTGGAAGCGGTTTAGTCGGTTTCAAAGAAACCGAGTGGCCGTAAGAGAAAATCACTTTTGTTATGTAAAATCAGCATCGGCCATCGGCACGACACCAAGCCATCAACCATGCAGCGTACGTGTCCTCTTTGGCGAACATCGCCGTGGAAAGATTCTTTACCGTTAAGGAACAACTTGAGCATCCTAAGGAGTATATTAACTGATTAAAAATCGCGATAACCGTACGCGCGATGACGGGACGAAGATTTATTCCCCGTCTTCTCTCGTGTTGTTCCTTCGACGTCAAGACGAGAGGGAGAAGCTTTCTTGGAAAGAATTCACCCGCAAGATATATCGTTCCTCAAGAGATGTTTTATTGGGATACAAAAAATGATTTATCTCCCCGGCTACCGTTTTCGAATTCTATCTCCACCGTTAATGGCTTTATTCATACCGGCGCCCCTCCCCCCATACAGAAACCGTTGATTAACTTTTTCCACGCTAATTCCTAAATTTTCATTCTTTCCTTTCTTAAACGTACCATTTAAAGATTATCAACGTCCATTATTGTAACAAAAAAAGCAACTTCTTCTCAAAAGTAGAATCCACTAGTATCCCCTTAAAAATTTCCAATAATACTCAAACGAAAACAAAAACACTCCCCATTTCCAAATCCCCGAAGCGCGATAAACATTTCAATTAACGCACGACACCCCCCGTGTCCCAAACCTGTGGCGCGGCCGGTGCAAAACGCCGGCGTGCCAGAACCGACAGAGGATGGACAGAGAGAGAGAGAGAGAGAGAGAGAGAAAGAGAGAAGAGTGGTGGGGCGGAACACCGGTAAACCGGTATAAAATATCGTCGGCCATTTTCCCCGGCAAATTTTCCGCGGCGATCGTAAAGCGGCGTCCGCCGCCGCCGCGCGTGTTTATCGCGAAATCGATTTGCGAAACGCGCGTCCGGGGACAGGAGTGTTGTTGGTTGCGAGTGCCGGGGTCCCTTTACCCATGGAACGCACGATCCGCGCACTCTGGTCATCGTCGCCGCTTGTTACGAGGCGGGCCGGTGGTGGGGGAAGGAGGCGCGAGCTGTGGTGGTGGGGAGGGGAGACGATCCTTCGGCTTTGTCCGCGTACCATCGCGTGTTCGTCGGGCTGGTTCGTTACGCAACGGCCTGGTCCGAGACAACACGGAGGACCCGGTTCGAAACCAGTTTCGCGAAACGGCCGCCGGCGGGCTGGATTGTGGGGGGGAGGGAGGGAGGGAGGGAGGGAGGGAGGGAGGGGAGGGGAGAGGGCAACGGTGAATTATCCTTCCGCAACCTCGCCTAACTGAACCCGGTCCGGGAGTGGTCGACGAAAAAGGAGAAAGGAAAAGGAGGCTCTCTCTCTCTCTCTCTCTCTCTCTCTCTCTCTCTCTCTCTCTCTCTCTCTCTCGTGTTTCGCCGTGTACGTACGGTGTGGGACGAGGAGGAGGAGGAGGAGGAGGAGGAGGAGGAGGATGATTTAAGCCTTTCGTTATGGGTTAGGAGGAGAGGAAGGGCTACTGGTCGTTGTATAATTTTTTTGAATTTTGGAAAATCTTTTCATTTTTATTCGATAGGATTGTTAGCAACATCGAGTGGAATAATATAATAATTTTTAAAGTGTATTTCTTGCGTTTTATTGTATTATGGTAAGAGTGAAGAGATTGACAATCGATCGATTCGATCAAAATTAATCACGGCACATGTTAAGAAAAATGGAGTTATTATTGAAGATACACTTGATTCCAAGGATGATACGTCTAAACGGGGATAATGTAGCGTGGAAAGAAAGGAGGAGGAGATCGTTATATATTAATCCCGGCGTTAGACGTTCGATTCAATGCATTCATTGATTCAGATCTGCTTACTTCGATTGCCTATTTGCGGCAAATGGAAAAAGAGAAAGGGTATGCATTTCGAGTTCAATGTCTAATTCGACATAGGTAGGAAAGAGTAAACGGAGAGGGGGAGAGCTGTATCTGAATCGATCCATTCTTCTTGGTGTATAAGAAGAAAACCGGGTATCCGATGTTTTGATGTGATAAGATCACTATGTGTGTACACGGCAAAGTATCCGAATGGGTTTTTAACGCTTGTACACAGGTTGTATCAATACTTGCCACCTTGAATGGGAGATAAGGAATGGTTGCTCACCTAACCGAGTGCTTGAAATAACTGGATATTCATCGAACGGGCGTCATTTAAGAAAATACACGTGCTGGGTGTGTAACACACATATAGTCGGATAGAAATTTGTCCCATAATATGTAATAAACGTAAATTATCGTAATTTTTTCTTTTTTCTTCCTTTGAAATTTATCACGTGTTAAAACATGTTAGACACGAATTTTTATACCTTTTATATGAAAATTAATCCTATCTGAGAATGATAAAGTAACGTACTGCCTCGTTAAGCTGTGTACTGTGTGTATTATCCGATAAATTAAATTGGAGTACGAAGAAATAATTGATTGATAATTATTTGACAATTAGTTCAAATCTGTCCTCCAAAGTATAGTTTTTATTATGCTTGAGAATGAAATAACGTAGAAGGGAATATTTTAATTGCAAATTCTTCTGATATTAAAAAATAATAATAAATAATTATAAATCTATCTATTATAAAATCGCATAAATAACGGAGAATGGGAAAGAAATTAATTTTGACGAACAATTTCAAAAAATAAAAATAAAAAAAAAATACACGTATAGATACATTATCTCTTTCATCCGAATTCGCCACGATTTTCCAGGCGTCGAGAATTCTCGAAATAATCCAGCATGAAACATCACACCGATCGAAACCGGTTAATCTCGCGAATCTTCGTAACATATTTCCAATATTAATCGATCAATTCCATCGTACGATGAAACGACACATTTCCAGCGCGAAAAATATCCGAATGAACGATTTCAATCCTCGAGCCATGCCTTGATCGAGAGCCATTCTCTCTCTCTCTTTCTCTCTCTTTCTTTCACACTATATCTATATCTCCAAGTATCCCTGAGTTGCCGGATATCCGCGATTTGTTCCTGTTCTCGTGGAACGAGGATAGGGATTTGCGAGAACTACGAATCACTGGGCCGTGTTTCTACGAACCGAATACGCGTCGAATCGAAAGAAATATTCGTTTCTGTATGTTTATGCTTGGCCGATAATCCTTTCGTATGCGCGTCAAGAAGGAAAAAGGTTGCAATGGTAATAATTAGAGAGAGAGAGAGAGAGAGAGGGGTGATTGGAGGAGGTAATTTCTTAAATTTGATTGAATAAGAATCGATTTTTTCTTTTTTCTTTTTTTAGACTTTCCATGGAAGAATTTCTTTTAAACTTGACATTCTGGATGTAATAAAAATTTAACGTGAAAGTAAAATTTTACGAGGAAAAATTTGCTGCGTAATATATTCAATTTGAGGGGAATCGAGTTATGGGGATCGTCAGGATTAATGTCATCCTTGCTAATTAATTTTGCCATTCTCGATTTTTATAACGAAACGAATAATGCTTTATAAGAGAATCATAAATCATAAATATTTGTCAGAAAATTGTTACAGTGTTAAAACTAATAAGATAGAAGCTTAATAACTTGTCAATTTATTACTAGCTAAGAGATCATTGCGCAAGGCGAAGTACTGACTATCATTTCCAACGATATGGAGTCTAATCAATCAAGCCAATTTCGTCTTAATGTTAATGCATCTCCTACGAATCTTCTACTCAAAACTCAATTCCTGTATTTCTACATCCTTAAAAAAAAAAAAAAAAAAAATCACTACCATTTAATTTCACGAAACGTTCAAAATGGAATAATTACGAAACGTTTCGTTTCGCGTATGAATTCGAAGAACGAGATAAGCAAGAAAAAAAAAAAAAAAATCAAATTTCTCCGCACACAAAGAGAGTAGGCGAGAGTAGGCGGGATGACGAATGAAGCGATTAATTAGAGGCGTTTAATCACGTTCGATTAAAGGAGAGAAGCGGCGTTCGAAAGCGGTCGATTTCACGGGCCAAAGAAGGCTCTTTACCACTCTGGATTTCCTGCGCGGCACGTCACGAAACGACAATCCATTAGTCACGTAAACCACGACAAAACTCGCGCGAGCTAAATACCCGGTACACCTTGGCCCCGCGAAACCTGCAATTCACCGGCCGCCGCAGAAGGACGCGAAACTCGAGCATTGAAGTCTCCGCGCGGCCTCCTAGCGGGATCCTTTTCAGATCAGGATTCCGTCATCGAACTGGAATTAAACCGTATTTTTCTTCTGATCCTTATCTTTCGGATAACTCGCGATAGCGACGCATATTCCGCGATATTTATTTTATCCTCCTCGTAAATCGAATCGAATTTTTAGATTTTTGCATTAATTCGAGTCGATTAATTAATTAATCATTCGAAATTATATATATATATATATGCATGTAAAAAAGGAAGGAACAAGTACATGTAACAACAATAATAATACCGCAACAATATTATACCAACGAAAAAAAAACCAACTTCCTCCATTCATGCTAATAAGCGACAAAATATATAATCAAAAGTCGTCTCTTTACTTCCTCATCCCGACAAAGAGAAGCGATAAAAAAAACTGATCGACTTTCATAATCCCAAAAACTTGGAATCTGTCCAACCCAACGTTGAAGCGACCGATCTTTCTCTTTTTCTTTTTTCCCCCCAAACAAATAGAAAAACAAAAAAATCTTGCGCTCTCTCTTCCAAGAAAATTTTTTCCCCCTTTTTCTTTTATATATATAGAGAGAGAGAGAGAAAAAAAAAACTTGGAAAAAAGGATTGGAAGCTCACGTTCGTTCACGGTCGATGAAATAAGGTGTTTACCTGTAAGTGTGGAGTTGTTAATGGTGTTGTTTGCCGTGGATATGGCTGATTGGCTGGTTACAGGTGTGCCAACGGTGGTGGCCGTGGTTGTCGAGGAGTTATTTGGCGAGAGGGCCGCGTTGGCGGCCTGGGCCTGTGCCTGGGCCTGGGCCTGAGCCTGAGCCTGCTGTTGAAGATTATAATTCCACGCGAGCAGCATCAGCTTCAGCTTATCCGCGTCTTTCATGAGCGCGCCTGCCGAAATTAAAAGTGCCAATTGGTCTCAGGGTGATGATTAACACGGTGGTTGGTGCCGATGGTGGGGGGTGAGTCTCTTTACGACCAGTCTGGTGTTAAACACTTGCAAGCACATATGCAGAATACGTTTACGTAACGTGTTCAACTGTGCTATCTTCCTTAACTGAAATATCCTATCCAGTATTTCTAACTCTAAAGTGAATTTCTTTTTTTTTTTTTTTTTTTTTTTTTNGAATTTTATATTACAAAACACGAGGGACCTGAAATATTTCAATCTAAGTTGTGAAAGAAACAAAAATGCTAGATAGGATATTGTGAAAAAAAAAAAAAGAAGAAAAAAAGAAGAAGACAGTATACAGATGTTTCAAAATTTAGAGGGTGATTGTTCAAGCAAAAATTAAGAATAAAAGAATTTCATTTTTGATCTTGTTTCTTTAGCGTTCAAGATAATTCAAATACAAAGCCTGAAATGCAATTTTTTTTTTTATTCTTGATTTTCGTCTTATTTTATTATTTATTAAAGTATCACTCTTTAAATTTTTGTACACTTGAAGCCGAACACCTTGTAGATTTAGAAATTGTCGTGATGCATGACGAAACTGTTTTGATGAAATCATTCATGAATTGCATTTGATATTTTGTAAGGATTATTTATTAATTATGCTATATGAAGATACTTATTGGGAAATATAATTTCTCTTTGTTATTTTGTGAAGGAATGTTTGTGAGAATATTTGTGATATCTGAAAATATCTTTGTGCTTGGATTAGATGAATGAATGATTTTCAAGAGATTGAAAACAAATTTCATGATACATGACACTATGAATAAATTTTTTTTTTATTATAATGAATGATTAGCAATAAAGTGGCATAGAAAACGTTTAGAAAAATATGAATTTTAAATTGAGATACTTTTTACTACTATTCTTTAACAAATAGAGATACAATATTTAAAATACAAGTACAAGCTATTATTACAGAATGTTACAAATTGATGGAAATTATTAGTAATCTCCACTACTTAATCTTTAATTCATTATTTATTACTTTTATAATATAACAAGTTGCAAATCTCAGTCGGAAACTGATTAAGATATTCGTTTCATTCGTTCGAGATTCTAATAAATTGAATGGAAAGCAGATTATTAAAAGTTAACAATAAGAAAAAAATTCCTCAATGAATTATTTTCAACGAAAACAACTAATGATTCCGTAATCGATAACTCGTTCATTTTGCGCGCTCTTGATAATGGTTATCAACGATTACGCGAGCAATGTAATTCTTCTTAAAAATATAATTTGTTCTATAATCACAGAGCAATATTTTATTACTCTTTATCTTTAGCGCAATTTATTTATTTATTTATTACTTACGAATGATTTAAATTTTATTTCCACCATAATAAAAAAAGAACGTCTAAGAGATAATGTAGAATAAAAAAATATTCGTTATAATAGAACGATCAGATAAAACCTTACACCTTTATGGATTTTGATTAATAACGATCGTTTATTGCAAATATTTCGAAAATTAAAATTAACCGACAATTATATCATGCATAGGGGGGGGGGGGAAAGAAATGTTTAACAATCATCGAAATGAAGATTCTATGATACCATATTTCCAAAAAAATATTCTTACACCAGTCGAAAATATAGAAAACGTGTATCCCGCTTTCATGGCTCACCCAGTATACACAGCATCGCAGGTAATGAAAATCCTATTAGCAGCGGAACGTGTTAAGTATTTAACAAAGTCTTTCTCACTCGAGAATTCCTTGGCGGCGTCTAGGTCGATTCGTTTCTCGGTCGATCGACGGTGCACACCCCACCCCGTGTTTCCCCATCGAACGTGTTTCAACGTGCGCAACAGGTCCTAACCATCGAAATTCTCCGGCATACGACGAATTCTCGAGCTCATTCGCGCGAAAATCAAGCCACGTTAACAGTTTCGTCACCGATCGCGCACGTACTGTGCCGCGTTTTCAGGATTTTCATTCGATCGACATCCAACAGGTACACGCGCGTTTGTATACACGGACGTACGTACGTACACGTACAAACGCGCGAGAGTTCGTTTTCAGTCGCGAACAAAGAACGACCGTGTTGTGTTTGGACGAACAGCGAAGGCGTTTCGTGGAATATTTTTGCTCTCAGAACAATGCGTATGATTCCGAGCAATTTCACGCGTGACTTTTATTTTTTCTTTTCTCTTTTGTTTTTCTTTTTTTTTTTTTTGCGTGCGTGCGTGCGTGTGTTCCACTATTTTCGATCGGATTTTCGAGAGGAATTGTAGTTTTGGAATTCGGATTTCGTGACGCGTAAAATAGTCGATTACCCGTGGTAAAAGTTTGTAGGGAAATTTGATTGTAGAGAAAATAATATTAAATTTAAAAGAGAAAAAAATTTAACCTTAAATATTGGTATTAATTTTTCTAAAAAAAAGTTTTAATATGATTAGATACGTATTTAGTATGATATGATGTGATAACAGAGGAAATTTAATATTTTAGAAAAATTAGTGTATGATCGAAAAAAAGATGAATGATTTTAAGAGGTTATAATATATATTTATCAAAAAATAAAAGTAAATTTATATCAAATGCTAAAGTCTTATTGAAAATAGAATTTTTAATATTTTTAAATAATAGTGTGTTCTGACATACGTCATACACTCAGTGTGTCTCACAAAATTTCATACATTTCATTCATCTCATTTTATTATTTAAAATGTAATGTATATATTTTAATTTCATATCATTTACTAGTATCTTCATATATAATGACAAAATTTTAAAACTATGAGAATAAAATGTAATAAAAAAAAACACTTAATCATAAAATTAGAATATGTACAAATATTTTTTAATAATTCTAACCTTATTCATCCTTGTATCAAAGAATTAAAAAAACACCAAACACAATTCTTATGAAATTTCCACACTCATTTCTCTTATTCTTCAATCAACAAAAATTAAAAACAAAAAAAGAATAAACGAATAAAAATAAAACACTACGAATAAAAATGAAAATGCGATGAAATGTGACGAAGAAACGCGACAGTCGAGTGTCAATTAAAACCTCATGGCCGATGAATACGAGCTGTATCTCGATCATACACGCGCTCGATTATCGATCTTTCACCGTCTCGCGTGGATAAAGATTTCTCTCGTATCCGAAGATGAGTTTATTCGCAACAAGTTCCATCGAGAATTTCTCGTTGAAGGAATTTTTTGGCGAGACTACGTCGAGTCAACCGTGAAATTAGTTACTTCGCTTCGATAGTCGAACTCGGGTAACAATCGATAGGTACGCGTATCGAGATTTGGACGATCAGTGTTACTCGTTAAAACGGTATTGCGTAGTATATAGTGACACGTGAAACAAGTAAAAAAATTCTATTTGTAGTTAAGTGAACGAATAATTTATCAGTGAGGGATTATTAATCGAGTTAAAATGCAAAATAATTGTATTATGAAATAAGAAAACATCAGAGATTGGTGAGTAACAATAAAATTTCATATCGTTGCAAGTTTCGAGAATTTTAGGTTATTTGAGAATTCTGTCGTATTATTTATTCATTCTTTCCATAGATTTATAATTCTTTAGAAATATAGCTTTTATTTAAACTATTTTCTTACTAAATTTAAAAGATTTTAAATAGAAGAAATAAGAGGAGTGATTTAGGTTAGGTTTGATTGTCGTGTACAAAATTGACGTGTATCGTTTACTGATATTTTCTTGTTAGTGCAACTAAATATACAAATTAAAAATATTTAAATGTTAATGCTTTTTTATTTTTATCAATTAAATTTGAATATGAGTCTTATAAAATTCATAAAATGAGGGATTCGTATTTCGTATATTAAATACATATCATAATTATAAAATTGTAACCATACAAATATCTCAAACGCAATTACGTTTAATTAACCTATAATGAAATTATAAATACAATTAATCCGATCTACGAATCCATCGTGTTTCCTGTTCTTTTTATTAAAGAAAATCATTGTGTGTAAAAACGAAATTGAATACAATTATGCACGATGAAATGTTTCAAATAAAACTGTATGCTAAATCAAGTAATCAACAAGGCTCTATTCAAAGTGTGGAAACTCGTAACGTTTCATTATATTATTATATTATTTAATTTAATTATTAATGAAATCCATAATTTTTTCTGTATCACGATTACCGTGCAATAGAATTTTTAAATCCCATTGATTAATAGAATACCATGAATTTTTTTAATTTTTTAAAATCGATTAACAATGATAAAAAATTCTTTTTTTATATCATTTAAATTATTAATATACATTATTCAAATAATGATATACTCAATTATTATACGATTATTATACAATTATTATTCGATTCTCTGTAATTTCTGATAAACTTTGTTCCAAAAATAATCGAAAAAGCATCAAAATTCACGGTTACTCGTTTTAGACACTCCGTCACTGTCAATAAATATCATTCTGAGCTTTTATTAACACAAAGTCACTAAGTTCACGTACTATCCTAACATTGTCTTGGAATTTGATCATCTTTTTAGTCGTCATGCACGTCAGTTAACGTTGCAAACTTAGAACACCAAAGTAAAGTTTGGATGTGGTTAACGAGGCCTGAAGAGATCCCTGAAGCGCAAATTTCGAACCTCGGTATACAAGACACAATTTATTTTCGAGAAGAAAATAACCTAAAATATTCGATGTAAAAAGCGTTTGTTCATCGGAATAATTTCAAAAAGGAAGCCATACTTTTGCTTTGATTTTATCAATTCCACCTATCATTATTAGAACATTGTTGTTTATCGTATATTATCCATCTGTTTTTATATTTTCTATTCACTTTTAAAACTCAACCCATTTCTAGATTCAATCAAACGTGAAAACAAGAGAAACGCTTGATTAGGTTAGATTAAATTAAATTATGAATTTCGAGAGTTTTAAGTTTTCACGCAAAGGGATAAAAAAAAATAACAAAAATTTCCAATTCTTAAATATCAAGAACTTCGAAATTTCGCGAAAAATTCGTCAAATTCGAGAAATTTCGTGAAAATAAAATCCAGAAGCAAGAAAAATGCAACGCTTGGATAGGTTAGGTTAGATGTTTTTATCGTATCGTCGTGTAATATCGCGTGGAATATTATAACTCTTACAGGATCGTTAACGAACAATTTCATCCGATCGAAATGCTTTGAGATCATCGAAAGAGGACAGCATGGGTGCGAAGATCCACGTCTGATTAATCGGTCGTTTCTTGGAACCGCGAAGCAACGTCATCGCGCGCCAGTGCATTTCTTTTATGTAAGAGGCCGCGGTAACGAGATTACGAGGTTGAAGTGTCGGTACATGCTAATAAATACGTTGCACACTCGTGACGAGTACGAATCGGCTCGCTTTTACGTTGATTTTTTTTTTTTTTTTTTTTTATTTATTTTAATATATTCGTGGAAGATTGATCGTTCGTGTCGTTAGGTATTTAATTTTTTTGGCGAGATAGATATCTAGTGAATAATAAATTTCATTATGTAAAATTTAGTTATGTAATAATGTAATTAACAGGAGATTTTTAGAAAATTTTTAGAAGAAATTAATAATTGAGATATTCGATATTAATAAATTTTTCAAGAAATTTATTATAAGTTTAAGAGATATTTAAGAATTTTTTTTTTTTGCTTGTATAGTTTATTAGTGATAATAAAGTATATGTTTGAATTTTGGACAATTATGGATATATCATGTTTATCTTGCAACAAGAATATTGCAATTAATATCGTTCCAAAAATAATACACTCTTCTTATCTAGATGTCACTAGTTGTTCTATCTGATCAGCTTCTTATCTTTATTTTTATAATCTCAATAATTAATAAAGCCTAAACTCTACAAGTTTTTATATTTTAAAGATTTCAATTTCCATTTATTTTTCCATTGAAAAAATAAATAAATAAATAAAAAAATCCATCACGAGTTCTTCATTAGAGATGCAATGAAACTCGTAGTGACAGTGTACATCCGCGAATAAGGCATAAGGCTTCGTTTTAGAGTGAATCGATTTTGAACTGTTCGAGTACACGTGCACTTAAGTATCTCTTCAGTCTTTCTCCACGTGAACGGTGTGTTTTCTATTTTATTATTCTATCGATATTCGCGGAAAAAAAAAAAGAAACTTCGAAATCGTACACGCTATATTGTTAAATGTAACATCGGTAAAACGGCGATGTACATTTATTATTTAAACCATGAAACAATTACTTTTATTTTATTTTATTATTTTTTTTTNTTTTTTTTTTTCATTATGTCTATATAAATAGAGTAAAAGCGTGTTCAAGCTACGAACAACCCCAACCCCTTTAAATAATCTGTCGATATTGATGCGTGGCATAAAAAACAATCTATACCTGAAAGGGTTAGGCATATAATAATAAATCGGTGCACGTGAAATGTCCTTTCTCTTCAAATTAACCCCTCTTCGAAACACAGAGTACAGGATGGGTCGATCAAATTTCTTTCTTTTTTTTTCTTTTTTTTTTTTTTTGTTACAAATGAAATATATTGTCTTTTTTTTTTTTACCACGTTGCAACGAGTGATATTATAGTCTGCCAAATTTCATTTCGTTATGAAATGAATTCAAATCGTGGCCATCCGAATTTCGACTATCATATCGTTTCCTCGATTTTTTAATTTTTTAAAATTCATCCCCACCCTAACTTTAAACCGCCCAATCTCGACCTCCTAGGAAATGAAACTCGGTGCCAAAGAAAAAAAAAAAAAAAAAAAAAAGAAATAAAAGAAGAGGAGAAAGATTATTCCAGAGAGTTTAGACTTAGCTTTTTTTTTTTTTTTTTTTTTTTAGCAGGGAAAAGGGACGAGAGAGAGTCGATGCAAGATTGAACCATCGTTATTGCCGTATCTTGTATATTCATGCAAACCTTTGAGGAACACCGTTGAGAAAAAAAAAAAAAAAAAAAAAACGAAGAAAAAAAAAAGATTGCTTGAATTAATGGAGGAACTTCAAAGATACCCATCCATATACGTATAGATTTACATACGTGATTCTTGGGCATACGTTCTTGTCGCGTATCCTTTTTAGGACGGATTAAAATTTCCTCTCTCGCGCACATCAGGGGGAAACGTTTCCTTCCTGGGCGAACGTTAAAAAGAAATCTGGTTCCATTAGAAGCGTATCTTCGATTATACACCACTCGATACACCGGACCTCCCTCTTCCCCTCTGTGTGACTACTCGTGACACAAGTTTTTCACCAACAATGATTGGAAGATTTTAAAGCTTCACCCTGCGTGATGTATATATATATACACATATATATATACGTATGTATGCGTGTATGTGTGTGTATGTATATATAAAGGTGGCCACGCCTTCTTTCACCTAAAACCGCGTTTCACACACTGCCTAGAGATATCGTTTACCCAGATTGTATGAAACTGACACTTCGGCCAACCTCAGGTGCTAAACCCTCGAGAATATTACGCGTCAGAAAAGTCTCTTTGCTTTTGCATTAACGAGTCTGGTTACATTCGATATTTGAATTTTTCCTTTTTTCTTTCTCTCTCTCTCTCTCTCTCTCTCTCTCTCTCTCTCTCTCTCTCTCTCTCTCTCTCTCTCTCTCTCTCTCCTTTTTTTAGCCGATACGTAAGAATTCGTGCTAGTTACTTTTCGCGAGAGGAATAAATTTGTGAAATTTGAACGCTTTTGGCACAGGAGAGAGGAAGGAGATAAATTAATCAAATTTTTTTTTTTTAAAGAATATTACATAAGACTCGATGTTATTACTTCCTTCATATCAAAGATTAAACTTGCACGAAATAAATCAATTAATAATCATCCTCCGTTCACAATTTCCTACTTACTTAAAATTACATACGAGTCTAATACACCATCATCGATGTAAAAAGTAAGAGTTAGAAGTGAACAAACACCGTGAAAAATTAAAAAAATAAATAAATAAACAAATGGAAACGTTTGAACGAATTCCCAATATAATTCCCTACTTACAATTTTCCGCGCGAATTGCATCACCTCGCCTTGCACCATCTCGTGAAAAAAAAAAAAAAAACAAAAATAAAAACGAGAAACAAAAAAAGAAGTGGAGAAGACCTAGACAAAGTGAGTCACATGGGTGAGTCGAAGCGACCATGAGGATCGATATCTCTCCACCCCCATGATCGTATCACGAAGCCATGATCGGCTGAGTATCTCGCCGCACTCGAGATTTCCCTCCAGTTCCAGCGTCGATTCGTTCGAGCGGGAGAATTAGCAGTGACACGTAGAAGGGTACTCGTGTCGCGGCAGAACGAAAGCACCGGGAGAGAGAGAGAGAGAAAGAGAGAGAGAGAGAGGAGAGGGGAGAGGAGAGAGAGAGAGAGAGAGAGAGGGAGGGAGGAGAAGGAGAGATTTATTAGCAGCCGGATAAAGTTGGCGGGTGACGGGGAACGGCGTGACGTCTAAATCATTCAGCCTGTTCAATAATGCAGAAACGCGACGCCACCATCGTGTACGATTTGGGTCAGATTCTCGAAATGGACGCCGACCTGACCCCGTGCAAGGGGACAACGAACGTCAAATTGAACGATTCGCCGTCTCTCTGGCTAGAGTTCGTCGATCTTTGTTGAGAATGATTTTAATTTGTGGCTGGTTTCGTGCGGATTTTTCATGGGGATGAGAGGGGTGACTAGACCCTCGTCTCTCGTGTCGTCCCTTCGAAATGACAATTCGAGAGTTTGAGAGGCGTGATTCTTTTTTTAAAAATGCAGCGATATTGCACTTGGGTTTCTCTTAAGGAGTATCTTTTAAAGTGGAAAGATACGAGGATACGTGGGATAAGAGGGATGAATAAAAGTTTGGGTATAAGGTAGGAATTTATGCTTGTCCGGTTTTTGCATTGAACAATTTTCTATGGTAAACTAAAGTTGTTAAAATTAAACGTGTGTATATTATTTACAATGGATTTATTTGTACATATATATATATATTTCCTCTTATTATTTAAAATGACGTGTGAGAAGGAGATAAAATATGGAATAAGGATTTTTGTACGATGATATTAAATACATGCATCGATATCTATTCTAATATTACGAAATATATACATTCGGAAATTTAATAAAATCCCCGCGAAATTTTTTCATTCCGATCGCAATTATTAATATTTTTAGAAACTTTCCAATATACATTTCAAAATCTACAATCCTCGAAATATCAAAAAAAAATCGTAATTCAATTCCTCTTCGAAATTAGCTTCTGAATATCTAGGGGTCACCAAGAAAAATCACTAGATCATTAACGTTTCACGTTGCACCAAAAATATCTGAGACTCGCATGGGAAATATCGAACAATTTTACATATATTTCGATGTGAAAGAACGGAATTTAAAAAAAATCATTGCAATCGATTAATTAGAGCGGAGAATTCTCTGGCAAAAAGTCTCTACGCGTCACCGTCAAATCAATTTTTCTACGTAACGCGGTGCGCGTACATAAGTAAGAGCGTGACATGAAAAAACGTCGCGGGCCGCGATCGCCTCCGACACGAATGGAAGAACAACAAGGTCCACGAGTGTGTGTATGTATATGTATGTGTATGTGTGCGTGTACGAGTAATGAAAGGTTTTGCTTACTCGAGTAGTGATCCTCCTCGGATATGTCGGCTGGCTCCGGGGTCGAGATGTTTTCCTGCAACAAGATGCAAACGCGTCGTTAGCGCCAGTGCAACCACCGCCACTTGTCGAACGATTTTCTCGCGCGAGAGGTGCAAAAGAGCTTTTCAACTTTTTTCCCCACAAACGGCCCCCACGTGCTTTTCGCACCACCACCACCACCACCGCCGTCACCGTAATTCTTAATAAGAGAGGACGCGGCGAGGAAATATAAAGCGGTATTCACTATTTTAACGTACCTCCGCTTCGTGAAAAAAAATTTTATAATTATTTATTGCACTCGAGTTTTTTTTACCACTCACGGTACTAGTAGCAGCGAAAATAAAATAGCGAATTCGACGAGCGAAGAGAAACAGTTTTCCAAATTTATCTATTCATTTATTTTTATTTACTTTCTTTCGTTTTTCGAAAACGTAGAAGCGAGAAAGTAACAGTTTGTGAGGCATCTGGCGGCCGATTCAAGAACCACCACTACTTGAACGATATATCTCTTACTTAAATTATCAACCTCGATAATATCAACAATATTTTTCCTCTCAAACGTCGAAGAAATAAATTTAAATTTCCCGTAAATTCAAAAAAAACAACACTCAAAAAAAATACGGAATAGATTGCCAGGAAGAGAACCGAAAAGTGTTAAAAATTCGAGGGATCGAAAAGTCCGAGAATCTATCGGAGAAGGCGAGCCTCTCGCGTTTCACGGAATCGCGATTGTCTTCGTCCGCGATTGCGCCACGCTCGAAACTCACCGACACAGCCGTACTTTCCGTACACCCACGGAACGGCCGTGGACTTTATTGTCCCGGATCGAGAGCTGGCGGCGGCGGCTTGCGGTTCGTCCGAACGCAAATTACTTACGCCTCGGCTCGGCGACGTGCCGTGGGAGATCGAGGCACGTCGAGAATCTCGAGGATCGATACGCCGCTCTTGGAGGGGGAGGGAAAGAAAAATTGTCCGCGGATAAATAATACGATTTGGCTGATTCGAGGGTAAACGTGTTCGAAAAGAAGATATAAAGCGACCATATATATATATATATATATATATATATATATAACGTTGTTGGTTAAACAATAATGGTACTTGGCTGGTGGATACTTGTGATATCACGGCGAGGATAAGTGTTGTCTATGGTATTTAAGGAATGATCTACGCATATTGACAAACGATTATTTCAAGTAATGTACACAGTGGACGGGTGTGTATTTAAAGAACACGCTCGTGGTGTGTGCTTGGAGACAGGAAGGGAGATGTGCAGCTCTTCGACTGTATATTGAACGCGAGTAACGACCGTTATACGATTATAAGCCCGTGGATAATCCGCGTGGATGACGATGATGATGATATTTAAAGAACGATCTATTCGAATCGAAGATCTGTTCTTCCTTCCCTCCACTATATATAATATATAATTTCATATAATATACACAGCTTCATCCGACCGATAATGTTACTCTAGTGAAAACTAGATTTTAAAATTCTCTTTAAAATTTTCCACCTTGATCACATCGAATCGATCGCCGACACGATCGGTCCTTTCCTCGTCACCCAGGCGAACGAAACGAGGCGAGAGCTCGGCGGTTTCGCAAGGCGCGCACAGGCCTGGCCGGGATAGGGACTTCTCCTATCTGTGTCAGGTCTCGTGTTGCAACTGCAGAAGGTCGACCGGTGTACGCGTCGCGCGGAGAGCACGGCCAATTGATACAGGCCGCAATTTTGTCCGCGCCGGTGTTGCTGTGGAGGCCGTGCAAAAAGTGTGCGCGCCGATGATGTGAGCCGAGAGTGTCACATCCCCGAATCTGAAGGGGTATAAAAGTGAAAACCATCTTCCCACTCCCCTTTTCAAAATCCTCTTCTTGCCATTTCGCTATTTTCGTTAATCTCCCACGGTCCAGATATGTACTAAGACTATGCACGATATATATATATATATATATATATATATATATTAACCATAACAGGGCGTAGAAAATCGCATGGGCGAATTGATGGTCGGGATCGCGAATAAAAGGTGAATCCATTAACCCATATACCGGATACCGGCGCGCGATAAATCTTTCCGCCTACCTGGTATCGCGTGAATTGCACAATGCTGCTTGAGAGAGAGGTGGAGGGGAAAGCGTAAAACGGAAGAATAAGGGGGGGGGGGGGAAAAGGGGAAAAAAGGAGAGGAAAGGATCATTGACACGAATAGCCTCCTTTGAGAGTGACCGATGATTTTACATCGGTACGAGGCTTCCTGAGAAATCGCGACATCGGTTTCTGTCATCGGTTCCAAGAAGAGGATCGGGACACCGTCCTCGAGGAGAGATTCTACCGTTACAATCCTCCCGCGCATTCCGCTCATGATCGCGGGATGGAAGGAAAAGGTTGGCCACCGCAACGAGCCTGCCTTTTAATAATCGGTGGAATTTATTGGCCGACACAACTCGCTTCATCCTCCGAGATATACGGGTTATTTTAAGAATCTTTCATTAAGAATTTAATATAAGTACAGGTGGCAGCCGGTTGTTTCGTTTCCGGCCCGGCCAGGTGGCGCCAAAAGGCGGAAAGTTAAGGTTGGCAAGTGTCTATCAACGAAATTGTCTTTTTCAATATATCGATAAATAAATAAACTTGATTTCGAGTTTTTCACAATTAATTTGGATTTAATTGGTGATGTAAAGGAATTAAAAATAAGCGAATGTTATTTTTGCAAGATGGGTGTATGTTTATTGGTATTGGCTGGATGAATATTTAATTCGATATTTGAGTAGTTACGTATTCTCTTATTAAGTGCGTTCACGAGATATTTATTAAGTATCTCGAGTGAAGCGTAATTTTCCCCATTTATTATTTCTTTATTAATTCAATTTTTTCTTTTCTTCTCTTCTCTTTTTTTGCAATTCTATCATTAAAAATTTTTCAATAATTACACGTTCACTCGGAAAATCAACGAAAATTACCTATCGTATCTTCGGAGCTTCGATTCTCATATGCAAAATAAAGAAGCCAATAATCATCCCCCATTTTACTTGTACCCGATGAACCAGACCGGCAATCAAATACTGTAAATCAAATAATCCGAGGCGAGTGTCGAATATTTTCTTTTTTTCTTTTCTTTTTTGTTTTCCACGACTCGTGGAACGCTATCACCGATAAGCATAACCGGTTGACCGATCCAATCCGTTTTTAGAATTTAAATCGATTTCAATCTTCCCGCGACTCTGTCCCACCATTAAAATTCGTCGACATCCGGGATACTGTCGGGACGAGAACGATTTTTAACCAAGAATCCGTCGTTTTCCCCCTCCTCCCTCTTCTATTTTCGTATAATTAGAATCGTAATAGGAAACGCGTTAAGAAATCGAGCCGTTATTAATTTATTCGTACACATTCGTGAGAAGATATATATGTGTGTGTGTGTGTGTGTGTGTGTGTGTGTGTGTGTGTGTGTGTGTGTGTGTGTGTGTGTGTGTGTGTGTGATTAGAAATGCAATGGAGCGTTAATTGACAGAGATGATTTGGAAAATCAAAGCTTGTTTCGATGATCGAACATATTATACTTGGATTATACTTGAAGTGTTGCTGTTTCGAAATTGCGGAAAATAATTGTTATAATTGGTTCCAAGACGACAGGGGAGGGGATAGGGGAGATGCAACATTGGGTTCGAATAATCGATGCTCTACTGCGATTATAATTAACTCGATATCGAAGGGTTGAGAATCGTAGCTGTGCGAGTTATTTTAATATATATTAGTTACAAATTAAAAACTCGATAGCGAGATATAAAAATATTCACGGAGAAAGAAATTCTTTTCTTAACTATCATTCTCTCGAAATAATTTCCATTTTGTATCAATCTCTTGATATAATGGAGACGATTTTCAGGTATGCTGAAAATTGTTAAAAATTGTCGTTTCAAAATTACCAATTATCGATGATTAATGAGATAATAAATGAAAATAAATAGACTTCAAATTTAAAGATATTTACTACGTTACTTCCTTTACGCAATTAAATAGTAAACTGCTTAAATAAAATCTTATTTATTTTCATAAAGCTCCGAACAAATCAAAGTTCATACTTTTTTCTCGTTTCCAAATAATTATCTATGGATATTTCGTTATTCCTTTCACGTAGAATTTAAGTAAAGTCTATTTATTTCTATAAAATTTTCAAAAAAATAAAAGCTCCGAACAAACCAAATACTTTTTTCTCGTTTCCAAACAATTATCCATAGATATTTATTTTTATTCCTTTCACATAGGATTTAAATAAAATTTATTTATTTTCGTAAAATTTTCAAAAAGATAAAAGCTTCGAACAAACCAAATACTTTTCTCCAAATAATTATCTATGGATATTCCTTTAGAATTTAAGTAAAGTCTATCTGTTTCCATAAAATTTTTAAAAAAGGTGGAGAGGCCCAATCTATAACATCAACGATCACAACGTAATCCAAAAGCTTGGTTCGTGGAAGCGTCTCGGTGAAATCGGTTAACTCGACGCTTCCTTCTGCGGCCGGTGTGGCCTCTCTCTCTCTCATTTTTCTCCCCCTGCTTCTTGTTGCCGGCCTCGAAGACGAGCACCGCTCCCGGCTCGTTTCTCATTCGGCGCGGTGCGCTCTGTCGTAGGTGTATACGGCCGACTGGCCGTGCGCTCGCCGAGATTCCCATTTATCAGGGTACATCCGGCGGAAGTGGGGCGGCCCGTGCGTAGGTGAGACGGGGCGAAAGAGAGAAGATAGACGGCCGGCGGAGAGAGAGAAACCCAGAGGACATTGTTCATTAGTACCTGTGACCTCAGGATACCCTGTCCCTTCTATGATTTATGGCTCGTTTAGGTTAGGAGATTGGCCGTAACGATTTCGCGGATTCTTTTTTTTTTTTTTTTTTTCTTTTCTTTTCTCTTTGCCGTCCGTGATTGGCCGTTGCCAGGACGGGAAATTACTCGATCGAATAGCTTCTTTTGGAAAAAGGAAATCCATTTAATTAGGAATTGTTAATCCTAAACGTTTTATTAATGTTGGGTGA